GGAACCTTGTGCTTGCTAGGCAGGCGGCGGAACCACTGAGCTAAATCCCTGGCCCAATGGCGTATCTTTTAGAGCTTTCAATGATAACAAACAGCTGGCTGCGGCATGTGCACTACAGGTTCACCGCCACTGACTGACCTGGCTTATCTAATTGAGACTTACACAGTCTTGGATAAAATTATGTAACTTCAGCATCCTCATCTAGAAAATGAGATTAATGATAGCATTACACCTCACATGTCATAGTAAGAATCGAATGAGAAAAATTACACTGGACTGTTTAGCATATGCCAGGCAAATGGCAAATACATGTTAGTCACTGTTGTTACCACCACCACCATCACCACCACCACCACCACCTCCACCACCATCATCATCATCATCATCATCATCATCATCATCATCATCGAGAGGCAACAAAAATACAGAAATACAGATTTGGAAACTAATACTTGAATCCTAGATCTGCTTATTAACCTACTTAACCCTCAGCATCTTTTCTTCATTCATAAAATGGTAATAACGTCAGTTGTTACCTCATGACAAATACTACATAACTTAAATCAATCAAGATTAAAAATTCGTGAATTTCACCAGACAAACCCAATCTTAACCAAATACTCAAAATTAACATTCCAATTAATGAGATAAATCAGCTATGAGGTTTTTCAAAGTATTAAATGACCTAATTGCAAAGCAGTTAATAAAATAACTAGAATATAACAGTATTAATAAATAATAACCACAGTCTCTCACAATGATGCAGTATCTTGCAGGAAAGGTTCATTTGTCAAATAAATTGTTTTCATTTGGACCTCTAACATTTATTAACTATGTAAGTAAATGCCAGTTGGGGGTTTGGCTACAATTATCCAAAAGAAAATAAAACTAACAACCTTGGCCATTATAGCATTATGCTGGCAAAAGATCTAATGAAAAATAAACTAATGATAGTTCAAAAAATAGTTTGCCAGGCATGGTGGTGCATATTGGTAATCTCAGCGCCTTGGAGGGTGCTAAGGCAGGAGGATTGCTGCAAGTTTGAGGCCAGCCTGGGCTACATAGTGAGTTCAAGGGCAGCCTGAACTACACAGCAAGACCCTGTCTCAAGAAGAAAAAAAAAAGTTCAGATAATATTTCTTTGGAGTTGAAAGATATAAAATAAATATATTATCCTTCAAATAAATAGGCTAGTAAAGGGCTTAGTATGTTTCCCAAGGATTACTGCAAAAATAATTCTGACCTTCAGAGAGGGAGTGAGGGAGAGAGAGGGAACAATGAAAAATCAGTAAAAGGGACTTTTCAGTCAAAAACTTTCACTACATAGCTTTCAGGAGCTCCAGTGGCACAATAGTTAGTGCACAGTACTTATATAACATAGCTTTCAAAACATCAGTATACAATTAAGGCACTGATCCTTTTCAGGGGAGTGTCCAGACAAACGAAAGGATCCTCAAACACACCTGGATGAGGGACTTCAATTCCCAGGGGCTAAAAGGAGAACAGTAAGTGCCCCAACCAAACCGAATCAGAACCAGAAACCTAAGTAACTTCGTTAGGCAAAAAGCAATGAATAGACAACAGCAAACCATATTGTACATATGTTCTATTCTGTAACATATCAAAAGACAGATATACTAAGAAATACAGATTATCAAACTATTAAGCTTTCATGACTGTAAAGATGAACACATTAACTCCTGAGTTATACAACTGTACAGAACTTAATACATGCACAACTGAATAAAATGAGTACAACTAAACCTGAGTAAAGTTTAACTAGATAGTATTATTACGCATGTGCAAAATGTACCTTACAGGGAAAATGGACAAAATATAAAAGTGATTTCTCTCTTTCTTATAACTACATGTGAATCTACCTATATCATATTAAAATTTCAATTAAAGACAAATTTAAAGGGGCAACCCACTTTCCAGGAACCCCTTCTGTCTCCTAGACAGAATCTATCTTTCAATAAATTCTTCCTACTCTTAAAAAAAAGCAAAAGAAACAAATTTAAAGCAAACAGATCTTTAAATATTTGAGTAAATCTACTACAAAAAGAACGTTTAGGGCTGAGGATATAGCTCAGTGGCGCTAGGCCTGCCTGGCAAGCGCAAGAACCTGAGTTTTATACCTGGTATAACAACAACAAAAAAATGTTTAGGATTTTTAATTTATATTAAGTATATTCAAAGTAGTATTCTCTCCTTACCACTAGCTTCAATAAATATTTTTCTAAGGACACAAAGGCTGAAGAGGGAAAAAAATCCACAAAAATCCATATACTTACAATTTCAACCCAAAAGTTGGGTATGGTGGCATGTGCCTGTAATCCCAGCACACTGGATGGCTGAGGCAGGAGGACTGCTGCAAGTTCAAGGCCAGCCTGTGCTACATACTGAGTTCAAGGCCACCCTGGACTATATACTGAGTTCAAGGCCAGCCTGAACTACACAGCAAGACCCTGTCTCAAAAAACAGACTAATTATACCTCAAAAAATAAGTATGAATTGTGCCAGGGATCTAATAGAGTAAGGAAAAAACAGTGAGGAAGAAAAACAATTTAAATGGTCTTCCTTGCCACCGACAGAAGGGTTATGGAAACTTTCTTGACTACCGCAAATAGGTTTATATAACTGTATCTTCGTAGTTTAAAAATCAGTTTGAGATAACTATCAGATTACACTCTAAAATTTTATCGTGTGGGTGAAGTGTTCTAATGCTAATTATGAAGATGCAGTATTTATATCCTCTCCTCTTTTGTTTTGTAATGAGTAAAGTATTTTAGTTGCCCTTGTGATTTAATCAAATAACATTTAGCTGAGAATCACTGTGATTTCAAGGCCAGCCTGGGCTACATAGTGAGACCCTGTCTCAAAAAATAAAAAAGAAAAAACAACCCAATTTAAAATGGACAAATACCTGAGTGGATATCTATTTTTAGATATATAGAATCCACCCAAAAAATGTATACATCATGAAAAGAAAAACATATAAATATTTTAATACTAACATCAGGAGATTAGTATGTTACCTTTTGCCTCTACAAGAGGTACTCAAAGTGGTAGCCAATAGCTTCCAGACATTTACTGACAGTGAACTGCTGGAGTATACAATCATTTTTTTGGCGGACTCTGTATATGTGCAAAAGTAGTCCTTTAGATTTTGTTTGATTGGCTTTTTGGGGGTTTTGTTTGTTTATTTTTTGAGACAGGTTCTCGCTATGTAGTTCAGGCTGGCTTCAAACTCACTGTGTAGCCCAGGCTGGCCTCAAACTCACAGTAATCCTCCTGCCTCAGTCTCCCAAGTGCTAGGATTACAGGCATGCACCACCACATCTGGCAAGCAGTCCTTTATATATGTTTCAAGATTTTATACTATAAACTTTTGCCAGCATCATGAAGACAGTGGACCAGACAGCTCTAACACTAAGAAAGAAGCTCACCAGAGATAAAAGCTGAAGATAGTATATACTGGAATCTAGGAACATCTTGTATTAATTAGTACTAGTTTAAGTCCCTTCCTCTAACTGGCAACTCATTAAATTGTTAGTTACATCTTGAAGTGAAAAATTCTAAACTCAAAGTTTTTATAGTATCATAGTACTTAAGACAGATTAAAATAGGACTTTATACCAAAACAGAGCCAATAGACTTAGGGAAAAAACTAACCCTGTCATAAACCTAAAATAATGACAATAAGAAATTTTGTACAATGTAAGATGTAATATAAAATGTATTTCCTACCACAGCACATACACACAAAACATGTAATTTCCATATTATATAAAATATAAGATACAACATAACAGTTTAGAAATAGAAACTAGTTATAAAGGAGAATTAAGGTTCTATATAATACACCAACCTTAAAATTCTTTTTTTTTTTGTACCAGGGATCAAACTCGGGTCCTTGTGCTTGCGCAGCAGGCGGCGAAACCACTGAGCTAAATCCTCGGTCCCAACTTTAAAATTCTTATAATTTTATTGTTTTATAAATTTTATTCTTATTTCACATTAGAACATAATGCATACCCAGGTGTGGTGGTGCACATCTGTAATCCCAGCACTTGGGGGGCTGAGGCAGGAGGATCATCATTGAGTTCGAGGCCAGCTTGGGCTACAGAGTGAGTTCAAGGCCCACTTGAACTACATAGCAAGACCTTGTCTCAAAAAAGCAAAACCAAACCAACCAAACCAAAACACAATGCGTATCTATGTACATACCTAAAAGACAGTAAATTTATTTTTAGAAAAGGAATATATATCAGCTCAACACATTTTCTCTCTACCTACAAATTTTAGTAAAACCTAAATTCCAGTAAGTCAGGGTTTCATTTACAATTATTTTAGAGGGTCAGCTAACTTATACTAAATGGAAAGATTTTAACACAAAATTTATAAAACCTACAACATAAAAATTTTATGTCAGAGGGCCGTGGATGTAGCTTAGCAGCACCGCACCTTCCTGACAAGCACAAGGTCCTGAGTTCAATCCCTGGTATGGAAAAGAAAAAGAAAAATTTTATGTCAGAGATGAAGTCTGTAAGAATAAGGAACCAATCATACAACTGGTCCCATGATTATAATCAGTGGATATTAAGGCACAGAAACACAAATGAAGCAGAATTGTAGCTTGGCAGTAATCTGATTTGGCCTCTTAAGGCACCCACACTGACATGTAAAACAAGACCTGTTGACTGACTCAGCAAGAAAAATAGGGGGGGGGGGAGAAAAAGAAGTGGGGAAGATTAAATCTGTAAAGAATAGGAGACCCCTCAAAACTTTAAAAAAGAAATAAAATGGAAAAAACTTCAATAATAAAAATAGGATTAAAATAATTTTAAAACCAAAATCCCCCTGCCTTGCAAGCACAAGGTCCTGAGTTCAATCCCCAGTACCAAAAGAAGAAAAAAATAATAATAACTTTGACATAAGTAAATAGAAAATAGTAGTAAATAGCTAACTGAAAGGACAACCCAGAATATAAAGGTTACCTCAGCAACTTTTGGAGGTACTCCATCCCCAAGCACTTCCCTGATGAAGCAGTGCTGGCCCATGTAATATGAGAGTCCACAGGTCCTCTTAAAGGCATCTTTAAGTCGTTTCAGCTCTACATCTGTAACTGCAATTCAGAAACAAAAGATGAACAAGAAACCAGAAAAGAAAAATCTCTTAAAATCTAGTTCCCAAGTATGGTGTGTTTTGTTTTGCTTTCTTTTTTTGTTTTGTTTTTTGGCACCAGGAATCAAACTCGGGACCTTGCACTTTCGAGGCAGGCGCTGGAACCACTGAGCTAAATCCCTGGCCCTTATTTTGTTCTGTTTAGAATACTGGGAATTGAACCCAGGGCCTCTGAACTGAGTTATATCCCACCCAGGCTTTTTTTTTTTTTTGAGACAAGGTTTCACTAAATCACCAATTTAGTGATTTCGCTAGACCCTGTCTCAAATAAAGGGCCGGGGGCCTGAGATTTAGCTCAGTGGTTTCACTGCCTGCTGCACAAGCGCAAGGACCCTAGTTCGATCCCCGGTACCAAAAAAAACAAAACAAACAATCAAATAAAGGGCTGGCCAGTAGCAATGGTGGGAAACAGGCTGTGAATCCCTCTAAGCCTCTGAGGAGGTAAATCTGGCACACAAATCCAAACCATTAGAACCTCCACCATGATGATGGGCAAGAGCAGCAAGATGCTGCAGCACACTGACTACAGGATGAGTCACCCTGCAAGATATGGTCCATCTTCAATGGTACCTTCAAGGCTTTCAACAAGCATATGACTTTGATCCTCTGTGAATGGGATGAATTCAAGAAGATCAACCCAAAGAACTCTAAACAAGCAAAGGGAAAGAAAAACAAGTCCTCGATCTGGTGCTGCTGTGAGGGGAGAACCTGGTCTTGACAGTAAAAAGACCTCCTCCCAAAGATAGTGGCATTGCCCGAGTGCCAGGAACCCAGGAATCAGGGCTGCTAGCAGAGGAATCCCAGCTGGTGTTCCCATACCACAAGCTCCTGCAGACTTGCTGGGCTAATCTGTGGGGTTGATGGGCCATCCCAATAGGTGATAACCCCACAAGGAAGAGGTACTCCTGTACCTGCTGCCACAACTAGTACTGCAGGAGCCCTACCTGGTCATGGGGGTCCTCCCCTACCCAGGGCCAACAGGCACTCCCCTCAGGCACGATGGGCCCTCTTCCTGCCATGTGGCTCCCCATGGCTCCCCCAACGGGGATCCCTACTGGATAAGGGACTCCTATGAGCATGCCCCTCCAGGGATGCAGGCCCTTCCCTAGGGATGCAAGGGCCCCTCCTCCGGGAATGCACCTACCAAGGCCCTAGACTCATCTCGGCCCTCCTCTGCTCCCTACCTGTTTCCTGTAAGGCTGTACATAGTCCTTTTATTTCCTTGTAGCCTATGATACTGACTTATAAAACTCTTTTAAGAGAATAGTATAAATGCACCTGATGCATCCATTTATTTTAGAAAAACTTTAATATATTCAGTGCTTAAAAGAGTCAAGAAGGGAGGCCTGGGATGTAGCTCAGTGGCACCACACCTGCCTGGCAAGTGCAAGGTCCTGAGTTCAATCCCCAGTACTGGAATAGAGTCAAGAAGGGTTGAAAAACTAGCCCTAATTTTAGCTGCTTCCCTATAAAATTCATTACTATACATTTACATCTCATATACTAAGATTTACAAAATGAAACTACAATGAGACATTTTCCCTCATCAGATCTGAAGCTCAGTTTGTTGAAATAAACATTCACAAGCTCTTGGTCAAGGGTGAGAGTTGGTTTATCTACTTGGGAAGGCACACATCTAGATAGCTCCTTAAGCAGTACTTTATGAAGCAAATGCTAAAAATGAAAACTCTATGGAGAGAGGAGAAGTTACAGTATAATTTTCTCCCAGGGTCACACACATAATTAAATATTAGTTTTGAAATGTGAGGGGCAAAAGTGGGCTGAAGATGAACCTCAGTGTGAAGGTCCCTAGGTCAATCCTTAGTGTACCAAAAAACCAAAAAGACAAAACTAATTTAAAATATGCATACAAATTTCAGACAGGGACAAGAAGGAAGAAACAAATGTTTCAAATTAGGAGGTAAGCTACATTGCATTGGATACTGGAATTAATTTTTTAGCAGCAATATGTTCAATTTCTTTGTGATTTTTTATCATCTTTACTAAGAAAAAAAATTTTGTTTTGTTTTTTGAGACAGGGTCTCAGGTTGCAGTTCAGGTTGACCTTGAACTCACTATATACCCCAGGCTGGCCTTGAACTCAGTGATCCTCTTGCCTCAGCCAAGTACTGGCATTACCAGCATGTGCCACCAACCCTCACTCACAAAGGAAATAATTTATAAATGTTACTGACAACCTAAAATTTTTAGAAACCCACTATTAAAAAACCAAAACAGCCACCTGCCTTGCAAGCGCAAGGCACCTGAGTTTGATCCCCAGCACCAAAAAAAAACCAAAACAAAGCTGGGCATGGTGGCACACACCCATAATCCCAGCACTTGGGAGGCTGAGGCAGGAGGATTGTACAACAATCTGTCTACAAGGTAAGAAAAATGAATATTCTTCAAAATTATGTGTTTAGTACAACAATCACAATGGAGACAGAGAAATGTTTCCCTTGAGGAGCAAACACCATGTAGACAGAGGCTGGAAAAAAATGTAAGAAAGAAAAGATGATAAATTCTGTTATGGACCTATGGAATATAGAAGACTTTGGGGAGATGCACTGGGCTTTTAAACTTTTTGAGTACAAAGCTTAGGAGAGGGTTTATGGAAATCATTAGCATACAGGTAGGTAAGTAAAATCATGAGTAAAAAGGATAAAACTGGAAGAAATCCATGTTTACAGCATGTAAAGAGAAGGAAATTAGGAGGGAAAAAGAAAATTGATAAGAAACAATCAAACAAATTTTAAAACAGAAGGAGAACCAGGTCTTCAAAGGCAAGGAGGAAAGCACTAATCAACAGACTTAAGGGAGAAAGGAGCAGCAAGATAAAGACTAAGAGCACCTGGCACACAGCTAATCACTGAATAAATGTCATATGGAGGGAGAGTTCCTAGATCAACAGCATGTAGGGCAATGATAAGACAGTAAGAATACTTGAATTCCTAGCAAGAAAAAAGTATGAACATTAGTAGGTGAATACATTAAAAACTGGACTTAAAATACTAACATTTCCAAAATATATTAGCTTAAAACTACAGAACGTGAAAATGAAAAATAGAACAAAGCTCATCTCATAAATTATAGTGATGAAAGAAATAACTTTGTCTACTAGAATATTTATTTCTTCAAGATGCCTATCATTATTTTTTTTTTTTAACTAGGAAGTACTTTAATCATTTTTCTTAGAAAAAAATTTCCAAAGACTTAAAACAGTTCACAACATTTCAACAACAAAGTACTGGTTACAGGGGTGGTCAGCTATTGGGGATTCTTCAGTATTAGGAAGAAATGTCAGTATCCTGCTTCATTATAGATGGGTAGCGTAGGTCATAAATGAGAGACTTTTGGCTGCTAAGCCAGTATCAGAATCCAGTGTAATGACATGTCTTTCTGCAGTTTGTTCTTCCTGCCGTCTGCCTTATCCCACAGATGCTACTGCATAAGGCCCAGTGGCAGCCAGCTTAGGCTCCCGTCTTCCTCTTGGGGAGGAAATGGAGTGAAGGGAGTAAAGGGAAGGTCACCCAAGTCTCCATGCTATCTTCCTCCTCTCCATGAGGTGGTTCTTCTGTGTTCTCCTTTTAAAAAAACCACCAGACAGACAGATAGGGAGAGAGGGAAAGGAGAGAGAGAGAAGGAAAGAGGGAGAGAGAAAGGAAGATTCCTTCTATATGGTTAGCTGCTAGTAAGTTGCAAGCACTTGCTGCAAAGTAAGAATGAGGAAACCAAGAAAAAGAATTTGTCTATAATCTATTTTAAAAGTACTAGCAACTAACAGTGTTTTGGTTTGGTTTTTTTTGGTGCCGGGGATTGAACTCAGATCCTTCCACTTGTGCAGCAGGCGGCGAAGCCACTGAGCTAAATCCCGGGCCCCAACTGTGTTTTTAAAAAATTGTTTAAATAACACACATTCTCAATGTAGCATACCAGCTGCAGGTGGCAAGTTCTAAACAAATGTTTAAGAGCACAGATAAAACATATGTACATATATCCAAATCCAGATACTGATGCTCACAAGCTGCGAGAACATGAACAAGCTACTTAATATCGCTGTATTTCAGCTTACTCATCTGTAAAAGCAAGAACAGATATTTACTTCCTGACAACAAGGGAGTAAGGCAACAGGGATTTAATGAGAATAAATACACACACACGCGTGCGCGCTAAAAGACTTAACAAAGATGAAAACAATAGATGTCCTGTCCCTTTTTACTCCGAACTCTGGAGAGAAACAGGAGACAAGTCATGAAAATAAAGATAGAGAAAGGAAATAACAGGGAAAAAAGTAAAAAAAAACAGTAGATTTTCTGCCAGTATCTCCTTACCTATAGACCAATATTTCCAACCCAGCAGATCCAGCTGCTACCTAACATTGAAACAAAGAGAAGGGATGGAAAAGGGAGAAAACAAAAGAGGAACATCAAGAAAAGAAGAGTCGGGGTCAGGGATTTAGCTCAGTGGTTCCACTACCTGCCTTGCAAGCGCAAAGACCCGAGTTTGATCCCCGGTACCAAAAAAAAAAAGAAAAGAAGTGTCATTTGTTGTAAAATAAAAATTACATGTATATATAATTTTACATATCTCCCCAAGTCACTCCATTAGATTTGAGTATGAGTGCTATCTTACTCAAAGACAGGCACATTACTATGAATATCCACCAACACATTAAAAGACATTCATATTCCATAAAATTACACATAAAATCTCCTTTCATATAACAAAGTTTGCCATCATCACTACATAAAAGAAGAAAGCCAGGGATCACTTGGTCTTAAAAGATCAAAGGTTCTGACTGAGGGTGTAGCTCAGTGGTAGAGCACGTGCTTAGCATGAACCAGACCTTGTGTTCAACCCCCACAGATACATAGAGAGATCAAAGGTTCAATCATAATTCTACTGCATTCACTGGCTACAGCTTGATCTGGATCTGGTATT